CTGGTTCAATCCCCTCCGTGGCGTATAAATTCACATGGACTGACTAAAATACTCCTCGATTCGTTCACATTTGTAGAAGAGTATAAATTACTTCAGAAGTACTTACAATAACATTACAAGATGATTCACACAATGCGACATCTATAAAATTAACCAACAATTATATGAATTGGAACTCACTCAAATAATTAACACAAACATGTGTACAATTTATACGTCAAATGTCGTGGATTCAGCCTTGACGAGCTACCCTTGAAAACGGTAGGAATTACAGCAATACGCCTACATTCCTTCTCAGGTTGACAATCCAAGTAGAAAGACGTCCAGGTTGACTCCTTAATTTGGAAAATCGTCGCAGAGTTCATTTGCTGACCTCCTTCTATCATCTTTATCCTCAACTTTGAACGGTGACACGCACATGTCATTGTATCTCAGAGTATAGATGACTAACAAGCATATGACGTATCTGACCAACCAAGCGTAGAAACAGAGTAATTTGAACCTAAGTAAATGGCAATCAAATAACAATTTCGAACTTGAACTGCCTTTATTCATGCAAGTCCGTTTTACAATTACACTCTCATACACAGTTGACTTATCCTCCCTAAACTGACCATTGACATTCGTCCTTTAAACGGAGCGATACCAGCATAGTCACAGCACAAGACACATGAGTTCATGGACGTCAACTTCAATGTGGATGACAACATCAACGACGACTGACTGATACCAGTTGATGAACGTAGCGGTGCATCAGAAGTTGTTGTTGTTGTTGTTCGATCTTTAAAAGGTTGCCCAACCGCAAGATTAGCATCATCGCAGTCTTTTATGATTGGCTCCAGTCCAGATTTAACATCGGTCGATATGTGGATTGCACGTACATCATTTACAATGACGGCCTGACTAGTAGCCATACCTTATGCAAACGCATCTACCATTAAATTTTACTTCACCTTCAAGTAAAACAGAATCTTCATGCAACTCAGTAGTAGTAGTATTAGTAGTAGGCATTTTCCTCAGCTCATCATGATCAACGAAAAAGAAATGTGCACTGTCATGACCCTTATCACAAATATCCACTTTACCGCCATTTGTATGATCGACTTCATCATTTTGCTCACTACTAAACGTGCTCACTGCCTCACAGTTCGCTTTTCTATGCACTTCTTGCAAACACAAGACACACAAGCGTGTTTGTTCTGCAGCTTGTAATCTATCTGTTGAGGAAGTCCCAGGAAAGTCGTCTTGAGGTTTGCATAGATTACTTGACACCATACGGCTTTCTCGATAGCCACTTCTCTGTAATCGTTTCATCATAAACGATTGCGTTTCGCTCTGTGATTTCTCTATGCCAGGAGTGGGATGCAGTGTACTGGCAAACTTGCTCATAGCTTGGTTGACACTCTTTTTCACCAGGCCCACAATATCATCGCAACCGGGCCACAAACCATCCTCTTCTAGATGGGAGATTTATTTATGAACTTTCTTTGTAGTTTCGTCTCTAGGAAAGGTTTTCAAGCACGGAACTGGAATTCAATTCATCTACGCAATTTCCATTTACCAATAAACTGTTCAAGAACTCTGCAAGTTCCTATGAATTATTGTTCAACTGAGACCTACTACTCTTGAAGGTCTCAAAATGTTACAGGATATAATAAATTGCCTTCCAAAGTTTTGACGTAATAACCTCATCGCCTTGATATATCCTTCGTTTGAGGGTATGAACTTGTAGAGCTGTTTGACACTTGCAGCCACACCAGTGCATTACCTTAATAAAAAACATCAACTTCATTTCATCATTGAATACAAAAATACTCAACATGACCTCGAACTCCTTGATGAAATGTGGATGGTCAGAGTACTGAGGTTCAAACGTGGGAAGCTTCAAGCCTTTACTATAACTAGATAGTAAACCTTGAACATCAAACTTATCATGCTGAACATCATGCATATCATAACAATTAACAGGCAAGGCATCGTTCATTATTTTTCTTCCTTCAATTAATATGTGATGTCCCATCTTCTGTCATTCGCATCTTCATAGCAAACACCGGGAAATCGTGATACCAGCCAAATAGTGGAACAAGGTGGATATGTGATGCCTCAGGATTTCATCATGATATAAATATTGATAATAACGAATAACATATAGCATTCACAGTTGATAAAACTTGACATAATCTGGTTCGGGTTTACGAAAACTGAGTTGATACTGTACTCTTTATTTTTACTCTATGTAACTTCTGCTTTGTAAACAGGTGACCAATACTGGTAATTGTTTTCCATGTCTTTATCAATGGATGTCATCCTGCGATCAAACTGATAATACACTTAAACGCCTGGAAACTTACTCGTCAACAAAAATCCAAATTGATTGATAATCATGCAGGTACTCATTTTCTGTTATGTGTAATGCACACATGGTCAGCAAATCGAATCGTATGAACAATAGTGTATCTTTCTTTCCCTCATAAATCGTTCGGTCTTAGTTTGATTTGTAATCCCGTTTTCCTCCGATCAAATGAACTGTGTGAAAGTGTTCACTGGTAATCCTGCAGTTGCGTGTCAGCAGATACCTTCCATGAAACAGAGCAATCACACTGACAATTTCACCAGAAAAATACGACATATTCAAGGAGTGGAATTTTGTGTAGTGACAATCTACTGACATGCCTTTTGTACATTTGTGAGGTGCCATTGACAATGGAGTCACTCAACGAAATGAAGAACTAACACGGGTGAATATCAATATACTCATTGCAATAATAAGTTATTTTTTCTGTTTGAAAGACTATCTGTGAGTGTAAATTCGTTCAATCTTCATTCGAGTGGTAGCGCATAACTACTCTCAGTCTCTCACATGTTGTGTTATCATTGAGGAGAATCTGTTTGTTTGCTTTCACTGCACGAGGTTGTAGATTTCTGTCAGTTCTTCATGTGTATGAACACTACGTGAGCATTGGTGTGACAGTCAGTATGAGTGTTAGTGTCCGTGTCGAGAAATACTCAGTCATGACGAATAGAATCAACACTGAAACATTCCTCGAGTAAGTACTGAGGATAAGTGATGAATCCAAACTGATATGCAGCCAATAAAGCCATTTACCAGCAAACTTAAACCCTGATCATGTATTTCACGTAGACAAACGGAATTATTTTGTTTAATAGTCTGACTGAGATAATAAGAATAAGAAATAGTAATTAAACAGGAATTTTCGGGAATACGTTGTCTTCGTTGTACGATCATGGCCATTGTGTAGTGAGTGAGTGGATGCTCCTCAGGAGTGCTTAATATACCTCGGTGAGTTTAGACTGCAAGCTAATAGCCTAGACCACATTTCACGTCAGTACTTGTGTCCAGAATCCGTGCCGTCAGAAAAGAATTAGAGAGTCGATTTAGTGCGCTTCAACTTTCAATTGGTCAATATTCATACAATTTGATAGAAATTCAGGTGAACATACATGAAACAGAAGTGATGAAGCTTCCTGGCCTACACCAACAGCCACAGCGACAACAACACACAGCAATCAGCCAGCATAATTCCGAGGAACCTGAGAGAAACAAACTCCTTCACCTACCTGGGAAGCACCGACTAGACTACAGGCCGACGGAACTGACGAGGATATCAAAGCCAGAATCGGAAAAGCAAGACAAGTCTGTGTGGAGGTGAACAGCACTCAGCATCAAAAATAACATCCGGTTCTTCAACTCCTGTGTGAAGTCTGTACTACTAACAAATCAGAAACATGGTGCATCATATCTTCAGACCTTCATCAACAGTTGTCTTTGCTCAATACTCAAGATCAGATGGCCGATCAGAAAAGACCAGCAACTGGGATCTCTGGCAATGAGCGAACCAACACAGCAGGAACCGATTGTGAAACAAATAGGCAGGAAGGAATGAAGATGGTTCGGCCGTACGCTGGGGAAACCATCGAGTGACATCACTAGACAGGCCATCGCTCGAGTGGAACCCGAAAGAGAAAGCGGCGGGTTGGTCGTCAAGGCAAGGGTGACTAGAAGGAGGTCATATGAAGAGGAGATGAAAGCATGTGGGCAGATTTGGGGTGGGGTGAAAAGTTTAAAAGAAAACAAAAGGCAGTGGAGATTCGCAGCTGAAGCCCTATGTTCCCCTAGGAATTTAAAGATTATTATTAACAGTCATTACTTTCTCAATCAGTTTTGATTTTCTTTTCAAAAATTGAGTTCAAGGGACTGATTTTTACTTGAAGATGGATCACGGATTGATATCAAATGGAAAACAGTTGAATAGCATTTGAGAGTACTGTACTGCCATTTCGTCATCCAAGATTTCGACAGCCTGTTAGGCTCCCATGCCTCTGGCTTTCTCTTCATCTAGGAGGACCTAAGTGTTTAGCCTCTCTTCACGTGTTGATGCCTTCCAGTGAGTATTTCACAACCAGGTGTTGTGATCAATGTGAGGATATCGAAATGTCTGGTGAGAAACAGTGAAATGGAATTCAAATGCGCATTTCAGCTTATTCATGAGTCGTCTGCCTGATATATAAGCTTGTGGTGCTGTTCCCAATGGAAACATCAACTAGACAATTCGGATCATGAAAGCCATCAACTTTCGTGCAACGAGCATCAAGAACATCGTCTATTACGAAGCTACTTTACATCCACGAAAGTACTTCATGTAACAGATAGTTGATGCTAATAATGGATTTTCCGGTGAGATATACATTTTCTGACGTATATCCTATATATATATCTGTCTAGATGGAAACAGTAATCTGAACAATGATCTACAGTTTCGATTCCGTTTCTTGATATCGTCACTATTATTTTTACATTGGCCTTCTCTGGAATCAAGTCGAGTCAGATAATATCTGAATTGATGATTGTCACACAAACAAAGACAAGAGATTCAGTCAAATTCTGATTGGTAGCTAGAAGTAACCAATGAACGGAATGGTGTCATGTGTTAGTGGTATAAATAGTCCTAGAGAATATTCTGTCAGTGTCCACTTAGTTAGTGACTATTCAGTACACATTTCGGGTGAGTTCCAGTGGTATCAATATTCATATGATATACTCTGTACTATGTAATTACCGTTTGAGGATGTTTCACATTCTCGTTAACAAAATGTGAGTGCCTGGACAGTCCACTCGTAATTTACAATTTATCATATGTAGTATTGTGCAGAGTGGAAACATAGGTAATCTGAACATTTGTTTGGAATTGTAAGGCCTAGTAGTTTGAGTCGTTCATGAATTCTGTATTAAATGTCTTCGTGATTTATAGCTGTGTGGTTTTATCGCGTGATCATTTGTGGTAAGTCTGTTTCAAAAAATTGCTTGACATCTTGTCTGTTTAATGAAGACACGAGACTGAATGTGGATCAGTAATCTGCTGAATTATATTCTGCATATACCATCCAACAATAGCCTTATCAACCGTTAACGTCAATTTGCCTTCTCCTTGGATGGAAAAGCATTCAGTAGTTCGTACAACTTCGTGGTTTGCTCATGTCAATCAGTGAGTAGAATACGGCCTCACATAGATACACTTGCTTTGATGATATCAGACAAATCACACATATCATTGTTAATACATTCCAAACTAAGTAGTGTTGAGATTACTTCTCTCCGATCTGTGTCCAAATGACTTGAAAATTTCACTTTCTGTTCAGCCAATGTTTACGGAATACAAAATTATATTTGCATAGCTCTTTACGAAGAGTCACTTATACTGAAACACATACGACAAATTAGTTTCCTGCATTCGATTATTCCACTATTGCTTGCTAAGTCAGTTTCGTCAACGTCATGCCTGAATTGCACCGCGATTCGTAAATCTGGATTTGTCCGTTGGTGTGAAGACGTTATGGAGGAATTGATGTGAGTTTGGAGATGAGTGATAACTGGCGATCTTGTGTACAAACAAAATTGAGTCGGTTAGAACAGTAATAATTGTGATGTGCTGTTGCAGGCGTATACTACACTCGAAAGTCGAAATGAAAGAACAAGTCACTTTCCGTTATTCTTTTCAAATTACACCATCAAGTTTTCGCTTCTCTACATAATTTTAGTGAGATGCAGTCTCAGAAGTCAAGACTAAACCTCATCATGATCGTCGGTCTGTGCATCGTCAGTATGATGAGGATTAAATCAGAAAGCTTCGTTCTCCAAATGACACTTGGACCGAATGGTAATTTTTATTCATTTATATTGAAACGTTTTCCTCATTTGAGTTTGATATCGCGCTGACTAAAGAAAGAAACTAGTTGCTCAGTAAAATTCATGAAGCCTCTCACTGGTGACTGACTGATATCCGGAGTTCCTGTGGGATGAAGTAACCTGGAATTCCAGTAACAGTTCGTGGTCACGTAGAGGAAACATCCGCACAAGTGATGAGACTGGGTGTTGTCGGTGCTATATATTGCTGGCTAGTAAATGGGAGAGTACATATGCTACTGGCTTCCGTCCTAGTGAATGAATAGCTCGTGAGATCGTCTCGTCACCTGAAGCTTCTGATCCAGTTTTCACGCGATGATCTGATCAGTGATTGTTGTTTTTCGCTCAGTCGAAATCGCCTGCTACGCAGCTCAGGGTTAATAATAAGGTTCATATTGTGAACGAAATTGTTGAGTCGACCAGTTATTCAGTTCGTCGGTCAGTGAAAAGCAGTAAGCTAAGCAGGAATGATTTCATCATCACACAGTCTTTAAACCAATTTCCTTTAAAAATACACGGTTACATTAATTGTTAAATACTTCGTTTTTAAACTCAGTTAGCAAGAGTTACCACGGACAACCATGTTTCTGGAGAACCGGCGAAACACGGCGACCACTGACGTGCACCGTTTTCGACAGCCTACTTTGAGAATCTCTGGAACAGCTCAATGTAAAGAAATTCAGGTTTAATTTTAAGCTAGCTCGTAGACTATTCACCCACTGTGGTCTAAATCGATCGCCTAAGAAGTACAACTCAATTCTGTTTGAATTCAAATTTCGGTGATTGAGCTTTGCTGATCTGGCTGAAACTTCGATGAAACCGTTTTCGAGACCTGGAAATTGAGCACCCCAATAAAGTTTGATTTCCCGTATTAAAAGTGAATTCTACCTGTTACCAAGAATAGAAGAGTGAGTGACATCCCTGATTTACTTGGCATCGTGTTAGGAGGTTCATGGGAATATTATGGACTGACAGACTGATACTTACAAAAATTGAGCGACGATTGCGAGTGAATAGAATTCCGTATTGCTCGTGTAATCTATCAATGACTTGAAAACCCCATTCGTGATCTCTACCATGCGGACTTTGAAACTCCACGGATAAGAAAATTATTGTCATTTCGCTTCATTCATGAACTAGGTCTACTCGCAGAGATTTATATCCTTCCCATTGAAGTATTCATATGTCTTTTTGTTGATTTTAAGATGAAGTAAATGTCAAATTTGATAAGATCAATTTCACTTTGGACAAACAACATAACCTCACAGTTGAGGATGTGAAATGCACTTACAATGTTCAATTTGGCACATCCCTGACGAAAGAGGAATTGGAAACCAAAAGTGGAAAGCGTCTAGGTTCAAAGTGAGTCTTTCTTAAAGTGTGAATCATGCGACATTTGAAGCTATACCGCAAAATTTACATGTAAATCTCTTGATAATGGTGATGTAAATGCACCCACTGTATTCTGAGGAATAGAAGGTACATTTTCCAATGAACCTCCACTTCCATAAAAAATGAGGCCTTTTTGGGTGTGCTTTGAAGCGTTTCACATTCCAAATATCTTTGGTGGGTGTGCACGATCATCCGTATTCTCCAAAGGCTGACTACACTGAATTTTCCAAATATATGACAGTTAACATCCCAATAGACTCTTCAGTGAATTCTTCTAATATGATTGGAGTACCAACTGAAGTTTAGACAGTCTCACAAATCCATCTTGATGTGATTTATTTTGTTGATTTCAGTTCCACAAGTGAACAAAACACATGTGGACTGTTTGTTTAATTGTTGACTGTACTCTGTAGCTGAACGAATCAAATACGTCTCATCTCGGCTAATTTCACTAAACATGTCAATGGTCTGAAGACTAACGTCACAGTATGCTTTGCGCTGTTATCTTCTCACAGGAATATATTCTTAAATGAAGTTCACGAATAGTCTCACTCAACGTGTTCCGAAATGAAATCCATCAAAATGTCATACAGTTTGTTCAGTTTAGTATCAGCTTTAAACAAGATTCGTTCAGACTGATTGTTCTAATACTGACAATATAGGCGCTGTGTGAGTGAGTCATTGGAATATCTGCTATCTCGTCATCAGAATTTCGTCGAATTCCTGTTGGTCGTCTCATTTCTTGACGATTTCTGATGAAATACTTCGTCAGAATATCAGGCGCTGTAAGTTGCTTTGTTGGAGTGTTGGATTCACCCGAGCTGATTGATGTTATTGTCAATAGGCACTTGAAAACGTGCAAGTAGTCGGGTGAAGGTATCTCGTGTGGCACAAAAATATCTTCTCTTATACTTGCAATCTTCTCATTCACATGTAGTGGTGACAAATCGGAGGAAAATCCATGAGAAATTGTGTTGATGTGAGCAGTCAACTGTATAACCTCATGAACAGATAAATGCCTGATATCATCTTGTGAAACCTACGAATCAGCAACTGATTTGAAACGTCACATTTAGATGTCTGTGCGACTTCGAACAGGCTCTCATCTTCTCCACTCGTGCACACGCACACAACAACCTCCATGTCAATCGAAGACAATCAAGCAATCGTTTCGAAGTCGGATTGCTCTTGAGTGATGGCCTGATATGTCGTCTCAATTGACTGTGTCCATAACATGAATTCGACTCACTTTCACTCATCCAAACATTCTTTTGGAATGACATCATATTGGTTTTGACCTTCCCGGAATTCTTTCTCAATGAAATGACACTGTTACAGATTAGACAACTTATGTGGACGATTAGCACCTCTTTCAAAAACAATATAACTAACATCAGTACTACACAACTGCTTTGGATTCGAGAAATAAACCATCGTTTATTACGCAATCCGTAATTAGGCACTGTAGATAAGATAACCAATTCTGATGAGCATTCATGTGTTCATTTCGACTTTTTCTCTCATTGTCTTTCCCTCCAGGAATTGTAAAATGTTGACGTCATCTAGCAATTGAAGTTTGGTCGTGCGAAAATCAGTTGTGGCATAATTATTGAAACACTGAGACAATAATTCCACTGCGCTATTTCAAATGCTCTGCTCAGATGTTACTAAATGAAACACTCGATCTTCTGAATGATGGTCATTTTTCTTCCCCTTTCTGTAGATTAGATCTTTTCCAATAAATGTTTGTTCAAAATAATTTTTCGACTTAACGCAATGTTTCTGTTTGTTGAGATATTGAATGCATGATTGATTACATTGCGTAGTGAAGCGTTCTTGTTGAATTTGAAATTGTAAAGAAGAGACACTAATATTATGGAATTGGTATAAAGCAAGTAGCATCCGACATCTTCACATTACAACCATCGGGTTCATTAAAATTACGCTATAAGAATTATGTTTCACTGGTAATGGATTATGTAGTCTACAAGCAAAAGTAAACGGCTCATTGAAAGAACGGCGTACTGATTATGTGTCATTGTTAATAGATTATTCAGTCGGACCTCACTAGATGAACAGTCTACCAACAAACGTTCCTTGCAACAGACCATCGTCGGTACAAACTCATAGAAAACCAACAAAGACTACTGCGCAGCTTTCACTGAATAGTTAAGGGTTCATTTAAAGTACGGTATAACAATTCTGTTTCAGTGTTGATGGATTCATTATTCTACAAGCAAACCTTCCTTGCAACAGACCGTCCTCGATGGAAACGCCGCTCTTCGCTGTGCACTTCCGTTGCGTCTGAAATTAGGGTGACGAAACAACTGTCAAATTCTCCCAAGTGCTTTCCCACTTTTCTTCACTCCGTTTCAATATGCAATCCAGCTTCAAAAAGAGATCAAACCGTGTACAAATTCGTCTGAATGACATCAAAATGTATTGAATAACAACTGAAAATTATGAGGTTCTCTATTTTCTGCTATACGTATAATAATGAAGGTGACCATTTCGAATCTAATTGCAGAAGTTCGTCTCTCTTTTCTTCAAAAATCGGTTGACCGTGGTCTCATCTGTAGGCTGATATGCTTACCACTAATCGATTGCACGTGTGTGTTTGTAGCGTAGCCATTAGGCAAAACGACAGACGGTCTACGGTTTGAGTGTTTCGAGCACTTTGTCAATATTACGCTAGTTAACCGAGTGTGGATGTTCGTATTCCGTTACATGCTGGCATTCACAAAATATATTCAATGCAGTCAGACTGGAAATGTATTGTTACCACGAACAAATGAATGGTTATGTTTCTGACTACGGAACCGACTTTCACAATCAGAATCTCTTTGTTCCACTGACGTAGAGTGCAGGCGAATCGCCAAGTCATTTTTATATAATGAAAGCCTGAACTGCATTTTCGATTCTGGATGATTTCGACATCCTGTGTTGTGATTTTCCACACTGAATAAAATGTTGAAATTATCCTGCACAGGAAAGTGAAATGAGTGACAGACTTCACATATCAAACAACAGTAATGACGTTTCTGGATTTTTGTATTGCGCTACACTTCGAGTCGATCGTGAGCCTTGGTACAAAATGAGAATAAGCTGTGTCGATGGAGAATCTACCGCTTAGAAAAACAGTGAGACTGCCTGCAAAGGATCAACCCACAAACTGTCACAGTATGATGGCACGGTAACACATTCGAATCCGTCACACATCAGGTGTAACTGGTCATCCAACTCTCTGAATGTACCATAATTCACGTAAATACAACACGAACCGATGCACTCAGTAGAAATATATGCAGATGTTAGTCAATTAGGAGAAGACGTTTCAACATACCTTATACTTTATTTGATCTTGTAGTTTGCAGGAGGAAAGAATGGATGCCAAGAAAAAAATTTCAAAAGTTGCATTGTATTGAAATAACTCGCTTGAACGAAACATGAAATAGATCAGAGTTCGTGTAATAAAAAATCAAACGAGACGCAGTGTTTCCCTTCTAGTGGTGTCAATATACTTGTCTCGTTCATCTGAAATGATGTCACCAGGCAGGGGTCATTTTGATCATTCCCAACTGACGTCCACAGAAACGTTACGGGTACCACCTGACTCAGTGAGACGATTTAATTCAAACAAACCATTTTACAGAATACTAAGCTTTCTGAGCTGGGAAATCATGGTGCACAGGTGATAGGCTGCTATGTGAAGCAGTGAAACATCCATCTGGCAATTAGATCACGTTGATCATGCTGGTCACCTGTATGCAAATACTTCTCTCAACCATAATATATATATATATATATATATAGTAGAGTAGAGTATAAACGTCTACGAATAATGGAAAAGATTTTTGGACACATTGAATCAGGGTGTAGCTAATTTCTGGATTATGAAGCATTACTCAGTTGGTGGGAAAGTTCTGCAAAAAACTTAATGGTTTTCAAATCGAGAAGTTCACCTAAATATCTGATATACCCACGTATTATCCCGAATACATTTCAACAATCAGGTCCATCAATTCACGTAATTTTAGACAATAAGCCGACTGATGGATATTCGTTGTACTTTTAGTGTTCTCAAAAATGATTTGATAGATTTCGACTAGAAAATCACGTCCATTGTTATCTTTGAACTTTCAAGGTAATCAGATTAGTCGAATATTCGTTTGTGAAGCAGAAATCAGATAATTTACGAGTGAAATACTTGATGATTTGTATTGTGTGTGATTACAAAAACGAATAACGATATGAGTTCTTTCACTATCGCAGATATGTGAAATCAGCTTAATTCCTTATGAATATATATCACAGCATCGTTGTCTTCAGGTGCTTCTCTGAGTGATGCTGACCAACCACGTCACTGTTTAATTAGGCAGTGAATTTTAAGTGAAAGAGGAATTACAGTCTAACAGCATTGAAAAGAGCAAGGTGATGTTGATTCAGCACAGAAAAAAGCAGAAGAATTTTCGAAGTCTGATGACCAGGTGAATCAGAGGTAAACAGATCCAAACATTGGAAAAGAATTGAGAGAACATCATACACTGTGTAACAACAGTCTAGCTATGTGATAGAAGAGAAAGTCGGAATTCTCAATCCATTGATAAGAGAAACAGTTATATTATTATTCATTCATTATTCAAGTGACTTCACACTTCATGGGGATGTTCTCACACCAGGTGTCTGGCAAGAGACCACGAAAGCTTCTTAAGAAAACCGGCCACTTCACGGAGCGCAATCACATCCACCTCAACTAGAAATCTTTCCCCTTAGAGTTTTATGGTTCGCACACAGGACAGGGTTTGAATATCAAGCACCTATACTGATTGTGAAAACGTGATTATATTGATGAGTTGTGATTGGAAAAATACTGTCAATAGGTCTGTAAGATTTTGTTTGTGTTTCTGAAAAATTATTTACCTGTTAGACAGAAACAAATTCGTATCTTTCATCAGCTGATCATACAGGATACTTATACTGTGCCAATTTCGGCTTTGCTTCACCCATCACTAAAATATACACGAGTTTCTTCACATTCGTATGTATTACCCTTTCCATTTTACATTCGGTGTGCTGTTTTGTAAAAAGATGTGCCATGAACAGCATGGAAACTGGGATTCGACATGCCCGTATACAATTCCTAATGTCAAGGCTATTTTTTATCGTCAGCACAATAATGAACATCAGGCTCAGCTGAAGACAAATGCCATTTAATATGTAGAAACCATTCTACGACCGCAATCAATATTTTGTCTGACACCCATTTTACTAATACTCTGTAATCAGCTGTTGAAATATACCGATATGTTTCTGTGAAGCAGGTAAACTGTTTTCCAGAAACACAAACGAAATATGAGAAATCTATTGACAGTATTTTTTCTAATCACTACTCATTATTAGAAACACGTTTTCAGGATCAGTATAGGGCCCAAATATGCAAAACGATGATGTATTATATTTAGCTGATTTCACATATCTGCGATAGTGAAAGAACTCATATCGTTATTCGTTTTTGTAATCACACACAATACAAATCATCAAGTATTTCACTCGTAAATTATCTGATTTCTGCTTCACAAAAAAATATTCGACTAATCTGATTACCCTGAAAGTTCAAAGATAACAATACGATTGCCTGAGTTGCATAGGATTGAAACTTTTACTGCACATCGACTGTTGTTGCGAATCACTTGTCATATGTCATCCTCATATTGCTGTTGAACGGGTCTGCGACATGTATCACAAATTTTCAATTGATCAATTTACTTGACGTGAAAGAGTGAGTGATCTTTCTATCAATCAATGATATGCTGACGTCATACAGTAGAGACAAACCCTGGGTCAACTGTAGATAATCAACATGTTACATAGTGGAGACGTGTTTTCGAAATCCAATTTTCTACTTCGATCCCAGTGAAACGATAATAGCTACCATTGTAACAGAAAGGAATAAACTGAGAGTACAACGCATCAAAATCAGACTGTTGATTAGTTGAACAGGCGAAATAAAAATAATTACTTCGACTAATATAACAAAGTTCACATGTCTTCCTCTTCCTACTCCTCGATCGATTTCTCAGTCACTGAAACGTCTCAGTTAAACTTAATTTATCTCTATAGTCTGTCAACACACAAAATTCCATCATGTCAACAATACTCATCTTTCTCGTAAAACATGCAGTGTGATCATTCCGATTTATTAGTTTGGTTAAATTGCACTCTCGTATTCAAGTATTATTTGTGAGTTTCATACGAGTGTTACTTTCTCATGTACTCGTCGAGTAGTTAACAGTCCTGACGCGGAAATAGGGAAATCAGAAGAGCACCAGGTTTACGATGATACTTGTATTTTCCGGACAAGGAAAATAAATGTCACACAAGAGTGTGAGTGAAATGGTACGTAGTGTACGAAACGTGGGAACAACTATATAGTACAAAAGTATATATGAAAATGACTAATAAACATGAACCAATAATTGGCCAGTCCTAACATGATTGGTTGTAATGTCATGTGACAACAAGGACAAACATATTTTTTTAAATAAGTGGAGAGATAAAAGCATATTTCCAGTTATAATGAAATATCGACCCATATACACAGCAAAATATAATAGACTGTCAAATGCAAAACACACATCAGGTGGATGCATATGAAACTTTTACTCCAAATCGATTGTTGGCAAACTCAGTATATATGAACCATGAAGCTTCTTTTAATATTTGGCTTATGCGCGTCAGTTTTCATGGCAATTATTGG